GTAGTAACTCAGCCTGTCACGCACTCAAACCGGTTGCATCAGCGGTGGCGCCATCTTGATTTTTGGTTCTGCGCATGCACAGAACAATCTTCATTGCAAAATTGTATTTTCCCCTTTTCTAATGTAGTGTGCATGCACAGACCTGTTTAGGTGCAAATGCGCACACGCGTAGTGCAAAAAATTTTTGCACAACGAACCGGCAGTAATACTGGCAACAACCCACCCCTGGTGTTATAATGATGTTTTTATGTTAGCGTTGTTTACATTCCACATGGTTTCAATTGTAATGCTGTCTGCATTTATAATTTTTTAAAATTTGTCTTGGTTTTATTACTGTTTCTTACAGTACCAGTATGTTTATACAGTTTTGGATTATCCAATGGACACAGGTATTCAGAGTTTTCAAGAGTTCTATGAACAAATTTTAGCTATTGTCTCAAATACCTAGAACTATTATTTGTTTGTTTGTTTGTTTATGTTTGTTTGTTTGATGTACGTGTGTATTTGTGTGTGTGTATGTCTGGTAGAATAGGCAAATCCTGTCAGAATAGAGAATTCCCTGCCTATTAGTTGTCTATGGAATATTCACTTATTTTGGCATAAATTAGTCCTTGGATTTTCAAAGTATTTAAAAGGCCTTACGTTCAATTTTTTCTCTGGGGCCATCATTGTATCTAGAACTTTGCACTGCACATTTAACATAGTAGGGAAGGTTTCTGTGAAAGTGTTAAATATTGTCCTGATATTTTAATCCCAGTTTATAAAAGGCTACAAGGCCAAAATCAGAGGTTTAATTAAATCAAAATAAAATGGGATGGAGATCAAATGATACCATTGTACATACCACCTTGATTTGGCTAAAAGAAAGGTGGATATGTATCTAAAAATGTTGCATAAAACAAAGGTGGATATGTATCTAAAAATGAGATTCCCACATATTGTTCCTATCAGTTTTCATGTACTTTAATTAGATAAATGTTACATTATTTTTGTCTGGTAGCTGAAAATAATAGATTTGGATCTGATAGGAGATTCTGGAATAAACAGCAGTTCACATCAACTCCCAGCATTTTAATATAAGCAGCAACAAATTAAAAGTTTTCTGTGATTTTGTGGAATAGGTCATAAGCTCCTTATATTTCTTTCGATGTTCAAAGCAAATTCTTTTCTATTAAAGCTGTTCTTTCTGTTTTTACTGTATCTGTTTGTTCTTACTGTACCCAAATTCTATTTGATGGTTTTTGTGGGAGTTAGTAAACAACAAAGTTGGCCCCGGAAATCTGAATTTTGCCATTTATCCATAGTCTAATTCATTCAAAACTTCCTTAATTATATTTTTGTTCTTGGAGATTTGGAGTGTTTCTGAAATCCCTCACTGATTTCTTCATTAACCCTGTGGTCTAACTGAATCTTTAGTTTCGCAAAGCTGCATTATTGGTGTCAAAAGAAATGGAGCAACAATTGCATTGTTTTTAAACCACACGGTGTTTGTATCGCAACATTTCCTGGCTGTACAGCTGAGCTCAGGATTGACATATAGCTTTGGGTGGTTGTAGTGGACATGGACTAGAGTGAATAGCATGGAGGTATTCATATGTAAAATGAGCAGAATTTTTTTCAGAGGCAGGGATCAAAACTTTTGATGAGATGAGCTGCTGTACAAATTTGATTAATTAAATTAAAAAACTGCAATATGGGTTGTTACATGTTATTGCTAACAGCTGTCTATTTTTCTTACTTCTTTATACTTTGTGCAATACTCCCTGACAGAATAGAATAACTATTAATGACTTCTTTTTCTTCTTTTTGCAGAACTTCCATCTTTAGATATGTGGCAAGTTCACAATTTTTGGGAAAAGCTCCCGTGTTCTTGAATACACATATGGGAAAGTTATTTTTGTCGGGTCATCTGATGCAATGGTCCCCAATCTTTACAGCTTGGTGTCTTAGTGGGGAGGGGAGAAATGGCCCCGCCACTTGCGCAACTTGAGCTTCATGTGTGCACACCGGCTGGCCATTCATGCAAGTCATGCTGGGTGTGCTCGTGCTGGCTAACCACTAATGGGGCCCAGTTCCGAACAGGCCACGTCCCAGTAGTGGGACACGGCCCAGGGGTTGGGGACCTCTGATCTGATGCATCTAGCTTAGCAATGTCTACTCTGGCTGATAGTATCTTTCCAAGGGATGAAACATGCAAAGGAGAATTCTGTCCCTTCTCTTCAACCTGAATACAGTGAAAATTCAGTTGGGCACTGGTGGGCAACTTTTGTGGCTCCAAAATCCCATTTTTATTCAGCCCTCTCAAGTCCCCAATAACAAAATTACCAACAGGCATAGTTTCCCTCTAAAAATAAAAACACTGAATTGTATGCCCCAAACAGCTTAAATCTCCCATTGCCTTCCTAGCCAGGAAAAGCAGAAAATCTTGGTTTCTGACATCTCCCACTCTGCATAATCAGCTCATCAATAATAATATTCATATTGCTCCCAAATCAAGTACATCATGGTTACCAAGATGCTTACCATGCTTATCATGGAGAGCAATAGTGGGCTTTCTGAGGAGAAAAAGAGATTCTTGGCCAATAATTATTTTACCATCACTCTATTCTTTCATCATTTTTTAACAACTTCTATATATACTGCATGATTAACTTGGGCAGAGGAAGACATTTTCAGAAATATTTACCTACTCATTTTAATGTCTGATATTTTGAAATAATCATTCTTGATAATTGTCCATCATTTTGGTCCACATGTTCCTTCAATATTCCTATCCTTTTTCCCCAAAGGATTGTTATTATTTTTTATTCTCNAGTTGATCTCCAGGTAAGTACCAGTGTATGCTTATTACATGAATTCCTCTTCAGCAACCAGAAGTGATGACAGATTAAACTATTTACAATTTGATTCTTTATAATTAAAAGAATAAAATTCTTTAATTACTAAAAGTTAGTAATGTCTAACTTTTAGAATGCAAAAGTTATTTAGGTAAAGTTATGAATCATAAATAAACAGAATAAGATAAATATATTTTTCTTAATATTTTTTTAATATGAACAGTTGTGTAAACTCCATAAGATGGCCATTTTGGAAACAGGAACTAATCTTCTGGAATTGTGCTTTCTTATCTTTTAGAAGAAGGAATTGTTGTTTGGCAGGATAACAATAGATAATCAGCTTGTCCCAGATTAAATGTTCAGGTCAGATTTATAGGTTCTGTGATCCTTTCTGCTTCAGAAGTAGAGCAGGGTAGCCTTATAAAATGAACCATTTGCTTTTCCCCATAGAATTATTGCAAGGGGTACCCAAAAGATTTCTGCACCAAGGAGTATCGTGGCCACTGTGGCTCTGATGGCAAAACGTATGAAAACAAGTGTAATTTCTGCAATGCATATATGTAAGTATAGGGTTGACTCTGTGGAGCTGGAGAAGAGATCATCTGTATAGGCAGCCCAGGATTTCTAGGATTTTTTAAAAAAGACATTAAAACTCATCCTCCTTTCAAGTAGGCTGTGAATATTCATTCAAAAATTCTGTCACATATAGATTTGTAGTGGTGCCAAGGAGAATATTTTAGGAGGTAAGGCAAGCAGAGCCAGCTTGCCATTTTCAGGATATCCAAAGTAGAAATAGCAATAGCGCTTAGATTTATATACGGCTTCTCAGTACTTTACAGCCCTCTCTTAACAGTTTACAGAGTCAGCATATTACCCCCAACAATCTGGGTCCTCATTTTACCAACATCAGAAGAACGAAAGGCTGAGCCAAACTCTTATGCAGTGAGCAGAATCAGCCTGTAATACTTTATTTTAGAACTCTTAAGTAAAATTGCTAATTAATATAGCCTTTTGGTTGACTGGGCCATAATGGTGAATAAATCTCTATAATTCTTATTTTTATTTTTTGGCTGTTTTCCCATCAGTTTCAGTGGTAGAAGACTTCGGCTGAGATATTTTGGAGAATGTTGAAATCTGAAATGCAGAAGATGAAGGCACATTCTCTAAAGAATATCCCACGATCTTCCTGTGTTCCTTATTAACCCCACAAAAAGTCTGTTTTTTCCCTCTTCTTTTGCTCTGTTAGTCCTTTAAATGGTTTTTGTTGATTTATCAATAAACAAAGCAAAGCATTATCTCTCCATGAGTCTTCTTTTGGAAGCAGTTCATCATCCTAAATTTCTGCTATTCTTGTTTATTTGAATCAGCGTTGATTCCTAGTAGCTATCTCGACAAATCCCTGAAGTCTTCTTGACATGTTTATTCTTTTAGAACTGGTTCGCCCTTGCCTCCTTCTTAGGGTTGAGAGAGAGAGTGTGTTCCGAGGTCAGCCAGCTTGCTTCAAGCCTAAACAGGATTATAATTCACCAGACTTCTAGCCGATGCTTTAACCATTACTAGTTTTATTATATTTTATAGTGCACACTAACGTTATAGATACCCTATTATAGGCCTGGAGACCCGCGGGCTGGATACATCACATGCAGGACAAGCCCACCCTGGAGAACAAAGGTAAAAAAAACCTCACGATCTGGCCTGTGACGCAATCGAGTTTTTACACCCACGCCCGATTGGATAAAGTTTGTGTTTTGTACCTTTTGCTTTTGTTCTTCTGTTATTATTTTAAATAAATAAAAGCAAAAAAAAATAGTTTTAAAATGTACATTTATGGATTTTTCAAGAGTCAGTAATTAAAATTTCATTAATGATATAACAAAAAAAATATCAGGTGAATTTACCTCATGACAGAAACAGCATTTCTGCACAGTACATTCAAGGTAAAACCTTTTCAGTAATCTCTCAAACATCTATATGCAGCAACTGTTTCCCATTCAGAAGTATTCAAATACGAGGTTTCTCCATCATCTCCTCACATGAGAGCCAAATCATGTAGTCTCCTTCTGAAAATGAATGCACATTTGATTAGAGATATCTTTAAAGCGGGAGCACAACTGCACACATGGGCACAAAGTTTGCAAGTAGAAAATNTTTTAGCCCAAGAAGCACTTAAGACAAAAGAAGAATCATGTTTATGCAATGGAAATGTTTTTGCACAATTAAGATTCTGGATGGTCACAATATCAGTTTACAGAAGAGGAAGTGAATTGCTCAAAGTAAGCGTGCACCTTGATTGTGTTGTAACCATTGAGAACTGACTGTTCATGTGCTTTTACAAGAAACTTAAACCTGGAAAAAATGGTTAGCTCTCCACAGAAGCAACTGCCTGTACCAGATCACTTATAAAGGGCAAAACCAAAACTAATTATTTCAGATCTCAATCCAGTATATTATCTAGGTGGTTTTGTATATACAAAAAATGTAAGCCTGGTGGTTAGAATGCAGTATTTCAGGCAAACCTGTAAAGCACTATGAACAGAGGTGGGTTGCTCCTGGTCCAAATATTCCTCTGTGTGATTCCTATCAGCCAACTTGAATGGTCTGCCCACGATTAATACTATTAATAATTTATTAAATTTATTTGTCACCCAACTCTTAGCGACTCTTGCTGCTGTTTTTTCAACCAGAGATACATGATCTGGCCTTCCCTCTTACTACACCTGCACTTCACTTTGTACTTCCTCTTGAGACATCAATTAACAAATAATTATATCAATTATTTTTGTTGTCTTTGTAATGTGTTTCCACAACAGTTAAGAAGGAACTCAGAAGAGGCCTAGAAACATAAGCAAGCTGATAAAAAAATGTCAAATAAAAGCAAGGTTTAAGAGAATGAAATGAAAGACTTGGGGTTTTGGGAGGTTTTTGGTAGAAGGAAAATGGACCTCATCACATCACTAGAATATCATACTGGAGTTGGGACTGTGAGACTGTGAGACAGAACGTCAAGAAATCAACATAGAAAGAATAATTTTATTTACTTCATTTATTTATTTATTTATTTATTTATTGGACAGTCACGACCTTGTCTCCTGTGGCCCATTCCATCAGGTCCAGCTGGAGAGGCACACTCTATGTCTAGGAAATGCTGTCTGATGGGGTCCAGGAGGAGAACATTTTCTGTTATGGCTCCCACCCTATGGACCATCATCACATCAAGATCATAGTAGTCCTGATCCTGCTAGCATTTCATAAAGCCCTTAAAACATGTTTTTGTCAATGGGAATCTGGGAGTGTGAGGATGTATAGTGGATACACTGACTACATAGAGGGATGTGTTCACTTTAGAAGTAAATTTAGAATTTTCTGATAGCACATATCAGTTAGCATTTAGCACTTAGTCTTATATACCGCTTCACAGTGCTTTGATAGCCTTCTCTCAGTGGTTTGCAAAGTCAGCATATAATCCCCAATAATCTGGGTCTTCATTTTACCCTCCTCAGAAGGATGGAAGGCTGAGTCAACCTTGAGCCTGGTGAGATTTGAACTGCTGAACTGAAGTAGCCTGCAGTTCTACACTCTAACCATTACACCATCTCGTCTCTTATTTTACAGGATTTTATGGTTGATGTTGTTTTGATTGTGTGATCTATTTTATTGTTTTGCTACTTTCATATTTTTTACCTATTTGTCACCCACCCTTTAACATAACATATACACATACACATATACACATACACTTACAGAAATAATATATATATATATTGAACATGTCAAGTGGTGGAAACATTAAAAAAATGGATGAGTTTGATTGTGCAGTTCTACCTGCTATCTTCCCATTTTTTTAACTCCATGAGCTTAAAATCATTGCAAATGGGCATTATTCTAAAGGTCATAAAAATGATTAATATACTATGTTTGATCAGATTTATTCTATTTTTAATAAAATGGATTTTCGTTGGCCCACCTGCCTTGTTCTATTCAGCCTAATACTGCTCTTCTAATCAGAGAAATTTCTGTTATTATGTCTTCTAAAAAACAATTCAGACTGATAATATGTTTGTGTCTCAGGAATATTGGCATTCCTAACATAGTTTCATTGGTAATTTTTCATTTTTAATAGACTTCCAAGCAGGAATGACAATCTGCACAAAGTAAACTATGTGGAACTGATTCAAGACTATAGAAACACGAGACATGATCTTTTTGTAGAAAAGCCAATCTAGTTTCAGAAAAATTGGATCCTAATCTGTGAATCATAAAGGAAGGATTACTCCTTTGGACTTCATCCCACAATTGGATCTTCCAGGAGTACGGGTCATAGCACTCCCTAAAAACCTCCCCTTTAGAACTACAAGAGAGGGCTCAGATGATACATTGGAGACTCCAAGCCAATTGATATGATACATTTTGAACATACAGCACTAGAAACTTGTCACGCATAGTTTATCTCTTTGGTTAAAGCTGGTCTTCACATAGGGGGGATTGGGGGTTCTAAAATGAGAAGAAAATGGAAGGGTAACTTTGGAGTCTAAGAATTGGCTCCCGAGACAATAAAAAGATCTGAACGGTTCTAATCAAGTTACTTCGTAACTGCTACATGTCTGTTAAATCTGGTTGCCATACACTTCTTGCATTCTGGGCTAATTGTGCAAAAGGAAGTTTACAAACTGACCAGTTTGCTACAGACTTCAGCAATAGCCAACTCCACATCCAATTGCGTGCGGAAGGATAGATTTCATCACCAAAGTAGTCAGGGTGTGCATATATAGCCTGGAAGGGCAGCGGAAAGCTATGAGGCCTCACCTTCAGCATCAACTGCTCCAGAGAGTCCTACTTCAACCAAATTCAGCGAGGAATCATGAAGCCAGGAAGCTTTCTGCTGCTCACTCTGCTGCTCTTCTTCTTGTACTCCAGTAAGTTCTGCTTACTAATCCAACTTTTCCTTTTCTGAGAGATTTGATGACCCCTTTATCCCCAGGAAAAAAGAGACAATAATCCACAGATATCTTCAAGGCTGGTTCAGTGACAAATTATTCCTGGTAAGAGGAACAAGGAACAAATAAAAAAAAATAGGTTATAGGTTAATGATGCAGAATTGGCTATTTTACTGGAAGCTTATTCAGCTTTAAATAATTTTTGTTCAGCTAGTTAAGGATTTTAATTTCAGCGGAGGGGGCAAAGGAACAGGGTGCATACAAGTAAAATTTTAAAAATATAGGAGCTAATAGAGACCTATTTCAATAATTTTGTATGTTTTCATTCCAGATCCAACTGTCCTAAAAATCAATTCAAGGGTTAATACCAGCTGATTAGGCATTGTGAGGAAGTGAGCCCATTGCATTGATTTTATTTATTGTTGTTTAAATTTAGTTTTAGACAAGTAAGGGATCACAAGATCATCTGCCATTTTGGGGAATGGTGAAGCCCTGCTATAATCACCAGTGCTCAGCATTCCCAATCGTTGGAATCAAGTGGTCCTTTCAGGTGTAACATAAGCAGAATTCCTGTAGAAATCAACAATATTGAACTCCCTAATAATATCCCGGTTGACTTATTAGTACTATACGTTTGGTTTTTAAACTGGCCCTTTTTGTGTTAATTTGCTAAGTTTATTCAACTGGTCAAGGAGTTTAATTGCAGGGAAGGAGAAAGGCACTTACAAACACAAGTAAATAAATAAAAAATAGGAGATAATGTGGAGTTGTTTCAAATATTTTCATTCATATGATTTTTTTACAGACATTGCTGCCCAAAAAATCAATGAGAAGGTGAGTACCAGATTTAAGTTTAAGTTTTAAGTCTCTGTGTTGGACCCAGAAATGTGGATGCATAATAGCCTCATCCCTCTCCCTCCTTACCATCACATCCTTTATTGCCAACGTATTGTATTCTCAGATACAATAAGATTTGGAACATATTTCAGGCCAGGTTTTCTGCTTTTATCTACTCCCTCTTCCAACCTACATACCCTCCTAAGCCCTTTAAGGGCACAGCACGCAATTAAAAACATCTACACCAAAACCATAACAAACTAAGCAATGTTTTATACCACTGTTGTGGAGCTTTTTCTTTCAGTGTATCTTATATATGTTTGTGTGTTTAATGTTGAGAGGGATCTTGCAAACCACGTAGAATTTGTCTGCATAGCATTATAAAGACTGAAAGATATAATTCCTAAAAATCCCAGACCTATTTTCCAGCATTGCTAATGCATGATGGCCTACATGGGGACTAGGAGGATCAACCAAAACAGAAATGAACTCTGCTGAATTACAACTTGACAAGATAAGAGATAATCAGTTCAGAACCCAGGGGTGGGTTCCAGCTGCTGCTACTGCTGGTTCGCTCAGGGATGCACTGTGTACTAAAGAAAATGCTTCTGTGCATGCAGACAAGACAAGATGGTGGCACCTATGGTACTGCGAAGAGAACTGGTTTGGGGGCATGGCAGGCCGAGTTGCTACCTAACTGGTAGGAACCCACCTCTGGTTCAGACATAATCATGTTATTCAACTTATAATTGGCCTTAAGAGGATAGTGCTATGAATCATTTGCTTCTTCCCATAGGAGTATTGTAAGAAGTATTCTGTACCATCGAATTTCTGCACCTTGGAGTATAACCCCCATTGTGCTTCTAATGGCAAAACCTATGGCAACAAATGTGGCTTCTGCAATGGGTATATGTAAGTATACCGTTCATTCTGTACAGCTGTGAAAAAACCTTGGAAAACTGATCCTTTTTTAAAGTAGGCTCTCAGAAAACATTGTCCCAGATAGATTATGTAATAGTGTCAGTTTTACCAATCTTAAGGGGAAGGCGAACTATAGCCACCTTTCTAGTTTTAGGAGATCACAAATGATATTGCTAATTATTCTAGTCCTTTGCTTGGCTGGGACTTGATGGTGGATGCACTCCTGGTGGTTCTTATTTTTAATTTTTGGTTCTGTTTTCCCATCAGTAAAAGTGGTAGAAAACTTCGGCTGAGATATCTTGGAAAATGTGTAAAATTTGAAGATGCAGAAGATTAAAGAACATTTACCAGAGAATATCCCACAATCTTGATACCTTGTTAATTAACAACCCCATGAAAACATCTGTGCTTCCCTCTTCTTCTGCTATGTTGCTCTATTAAATGTCTTAATCTGATTTATCAATAAAAAATCCAAAGCATTATATCTCTATGAATCTTCTTTTTAAACCAATATATGTGCCTCCTTTTTTGTTTTAGTTCCTTTGAGTCAAAGTTGACTCATTGCAACCACCTCAACTTGTTTTTGCAGTTTTCTTGGCACATAGTTTTTCAGAAGTGATTTGCCCTTACCTTCTTCCTAGCAGTGACTGGCCAAGAACAATTAGCTGACTTATGGTCCCCTGCTTTTTTAACCGGGGCTTTAGCCACTACACCAAACTGGCTCACATTGGAATACATTTATAGTTTTATTGCATTTTAAAATGCACAATAACTTCATACTGGTAGATATGCAATTGGGAACATATTGGTATGTATTCATAATGTATATTTTTGTATTATTGACAAGAGACAATAATTAAAGGTTGGTTACTGATACCACATAAAGTAGGAAGTTTTTTTCTCACATTCCCTCAAGGTAGAACAATCTCAATAATGTTTTAGTTATCCCATTCAGAAATATTCAAATATGAGATTTCTCAATCATCTCCTGATATGAGACTCAAATTACATGTTGCCCTTTTGATAATGAATGCACCTTTGATGATATTCATCTCTAAAGCAGAAGCTGGGTGAACTTTAGGAGCACAAATACATACATAGTCATGGAGATTGTATGCCAAAAATGTGAAATTTCTCTTTCTAACTCTCAAACAACCCATTCTCTATTTCATGCATCAACCATGCATACCGATATTGAAAGTGAAAATGTCCCATGGTCCTTTCCCTGAAGTGGTGGGTTCAGGATCCCATTCCAATTGGTACAGTTGTCTCCCCACCCCCGGAGTTGCAGTAGGGTATATGCGAGCCTCCGTGTGCGTTTTTCGAAGTTGGCTCCTTCTGATTTGGCAGGATCAAAGTCATTGTCCGTCTGATACGAATCAGATGCTCCAAGCTTTAAATTCTTGGCCGGACAGAAAGGTCCCGCTCGCGCTGGTTCCTTGGTTCACAGGCACTTCATCCAACGGGTCAATTGTTGGCGAACGGGATTTTCTGGAAACTCCTTAACGCTCCTTGTTTCTTTCCCGCCCCAGTCCGCCTTA